TTGTATAACTTGGAGAACTGTGCCAGTTGTTTTGGCTACTTTTATGATATGTTTGGTGTGTTTGGATTCGTTTTGAAGCTTGGAATGAAGCATGAAACAGCACGGAATCCCATTCATTGTATTCAAATTGAATTTATATTGATTGGTAGATTTAAATGACACAACATTTTTTTGTTGTTCACAGAAATGCTGTGGAAAACTGATGTTAAAAATAAAATGCAAGGAAAACGCATATCTTATGACTGGTAGATGTCACTTTTATTGAAAAGATAAAAACAAGACATTTATATGTTCCTTTGTTTATAGCTTAAGTATTTCAAAGTATTCTAAAGTATTTAGATTAAGTTACTAAACCGGAGTAATCTAACGAAATACATTACTGATTACTTTAAAGCATGTATTTTGTAATCTGTAGTGAAATACATTTTAAACGTAACCTTCCCAGCCCTGTATATATATATATATATATACATCAGGGGAGGCAAGGGAGGCAGTGTCTCCTCTCCTCAAAAGTGGATGAAAAAATAATCGATATTACAAAAATAAAACAACGCAAATATGAATAATATGACATTAAACGTCTAAAAGTCACTTGTTTTTATAAAGTAACACTGTCCAACAGCGACACCAGCAGGTAAAGTTACAGCGGAGGCTTGCCTCCCTTCGGTCCATAGACTTTCTACAGAGACCCTAAAGCATGCCGTGACTTTTCTGGAGGCTCACTGAGATGAATGGGGGAAAGTCACGTGAGAGGAGGCAATGCCTCCGTTGCGCTATAATTGGATATGATCGGTTATGATTGAATGTGATTGGTTCGTGTGATAAATTCCGCCTCTTGTTTTCGTGCGAGCTCTCGGCCTGAATTAAGAAAATTATAGTGTTATTGACTAATTATAAAGTAAACAACTCTCCTGCTTAGATATCACTGCTTTGTGTCACATCAAAATGAAACATGAAATGACTTGAAAACGTGATGACTGTGTCAGTTTTTAGTGAGCATTCAGCTTGATGAAATGAAAGATGTATCTTCGTGCCTGTGACAAAGTTTACAGGGCTTTTATGATGATGACCCGAAAATAAGTTGACTTAAAAAGAACAGCTGAACATCAGTTCACAAATAAAAAACGTGTCTATTTACAAGCGCAAATAGCCCGCCTGTTGGCAGAGGCTATTTACACTAACTTCGCCCATCAATGTGTGATTACAAAGCATTACAAAAGACTATCATCTAATAACAGCCTCAGTGGTGCAGATGGTAAAGTTGTATTGAAGTCGTTTTTGACGCGATCGAATTGCGTTTTGTCTAACTTTTTTTTCCTACTTTTTCAAATCAGATATCACGTCGTTGTTATTGTTATTATTGCATATTGTTTTATAATGTACTACAATACTGAGGTGCAGATATACATATACACTGAACAAAATTATAAATGCAACACTTGAGCTGAACTCAAAGATCTAAGACTTGTTCTATGTACAAAAAAGGCCTATTTCTCTCAAATATTGTTCACAAATCTGTCTAAATCTGTTAGTGCGCAGGAGCAAAGGGTCTGAATACTTAGGACCATGTGATATTTCAGTTTTTCTTTTTTAATAAATCTGCAAAAATGTCAACAATTCTGTGTTTTTCTGTCAATATGGGGTGCTGTGTGCATTAATGAGGAAAAAAAATTAACTTAAATGATTTTAGCAAATGGCTGCAATATAACAAAGAGTGAAAAATTTAAGGGGGTCTGAATACTTTCCGTACCCACTGTATATATAAACTAATATATTATTTATTATACGCATAAGCAAAGCAACATGCTTACAACAATATAGAGATAAATGAATTTCTAATCACAAAAGGAACAAAAAGGTTTAGAGGCTTTTTAAACTATACTAAACATATATTCAACCAACACTGATTTGTTTAATGCACATGTTAATGAAATTTCATTAATTACATTTTATGTTTTTCATCTATTGTTATGATTATCACGGTCAATCCTCTCAAATTTTGTGACTGATAATTTAGCATAGTCATTCCTGCATTTAAACGTGGGTGCATGAAAAATATAGGTTTTACATAAATTGTGAATGGACTGTATAGAGAAAGCAAGTAAAGAGCACTCATTTTAAAATCACTCAAGTTTTCAATTATTTAACTATAAATCAATGAAGTTGACTACACTGTACAATGAATGTAATTTACATCCTGTGTGCACTTTGTTGATTATAATGAGAGAACATGAGTTTAAACATTAGGCCATTTTATTAATCTTTCCCTTCTTTTTAGTCCCATTGTTTTATCTAAAGTCCGGCCCCATTTTGTGTCATATTTCAGTTAAATTATGGGAATGAAATAATACAAAATGCACTTTGATATGTTCGCCTGATAACTTGTGGAAGTCTGTGGTTAAAACGCCACTTAGCGGTCAAAAGTGCAAATGCATTTTGCAGATGCGGTGGCAGTGCCCACAGCGGTAAAACAAAACGTCTCAGGTTACTTATGTAACCATGGTTCCCTGAGTAGGGAACGAGACACTGCGTCCTCTAGGGGTCGCTATGGGGAACGCCTCGTCGTGACCCGTGTCTGAAGCATACATTGAAAAAACACCAACTCGTTGGCAGGCAACAGCCATGACGTCACTACCTGTGCAACTATAGTATAAATAGGCGCCGGGAGCTACACATCATTCACTTCTTCGTCTGAAGCTTGCGTCCGCAGCATGGCAAGAAACCTAGAGGACGCAGTGTCTCGTTCCCTACTCAGGGAACCATGGTTACATAAGTAACCTGAGACGTTCCCTTTCATGGAAACTTCGAACTGCGTCCTCTAGGGGTCGCTATGGGGAACGGTATACCCACGCCACCATGCTGAGGGGAGTGCAAGCCAGAACCATGGCGAGCACTAAGAACCAACTCTACCATATTGCTATGGGAGTCGCCCCTGGGACGTTTGTCGACGGCTGTCAGTGACGTTACTCCCTACGGCCAAAGGCCTAGGCTACATACCCCAAAAAACTTACCTGTTAGGGCCAGACTCCTGGGCCCGGGGTAGAGCTCAAGGCTTGGAATCAGAAACAGATTCCTTTAAGGGAATACGACCAAGAGCCTAGAATCATACTAGTCTTGGTCTCTCACACAGGGGCTACCGCACGTTTGTCTTGTGGTGAAGGAACTGTCGCAACAGATCCTTAGTAGCAATACCCTGCTAAGTAGGTATCCAGAGGATACATAGGGGGAGTGGTGCCCAAGGCAGAACCGGGGTTTTAAACCACTCAAAAAAGAAGCCTCTAGACCGGACCATCAGTAAGATGGTCACTATGAAGCCATAGAACCAACCAAACCTAATAGGTCCAGTATAGGAGACTATAATGCAGGAAATTTCCCACCTAACCTTGGTCAGGTGGAGAGAGATGGTGGTTACAGGGGAATTTAGGAAGGTGAGGATAAGGGCAGATGTAAGACCCCCGAAGGAAACGAGTAGATACTGAGGTATCACTCTGATCCGGACAAAAGCACTGACGCCCTGTCTGGATCACATCCCTTAGGTCTTTTACTCACCTTCCTTTGACCCACGATTCTTCCTACCCCTACCCATGGGCGGGGGAGGAGCGCGAGCCGCGACACTAGCCTTCTGAGCCAGTCTCTGATCCTCAAACTGAGGCGGTCTAGGACCCCTGGGTTGTTCGGGCTCAGACCTGGACTTCTATCCCGGTCTTTCAGCCGGTCAGTCTGATATGCTTGGAGCATCACCATCGTGTGAAATGAAGTGACAGCCCGACCTGCTGCTGCTGTGTATGCCCTAGCATCCGAGCGAGATGTCAAGAAAGGGAGTCTTAGTCTGACCAGCATCTCTCTATAGGGGCATCTTCTCATAACCGCCTTTGCCCCTGAATCAGACAATGTTAATGAAATAACATCATCCTCCAGCGGCTCACTCTCGTGCACAGCCGACGATCGCGAAAGAGAAAACCCCTCTTCAAACTCATCGGCCAGATCCACCTGCGATCCACACAAGCTCATTCCCTTCCGTGCCTCAGCAGCGGTGGGTCCTGGATCGCGGGAAGCAGATGGCTCCCCCTCTTTCCTCGAAAAGAGAGACAAACGAGAGCGGAGCTTTTTTCCTTGGAAAAAAACGCTCGCAGTGCACGCTGATTGCCCCCTCGGAGATATCGCATGCGTGCTCTTTGCCCAAACAAAACAATGCATAGATCGTGTGTGTCATCAGATGTTAAACAACGTCAACACGGATGCACACATCCTTAAATGCTTTGCTAGTGCTCGCCATAATGAGATAAATAGAGATCGCTCTTACCACAGAAATGCAAGCTTCAAACAAAACAGTCAATGAAGACAAAGAAGAGAATGATGTGTAGCTCCCGGCGCCTATTTATACTATAGTCGCACCGGTAGTGACGTCATGGCTGTTGCCTGCCAACGAGTTGGTGTTTTTTCAATGTATGCTTCAGACACGGGTCACGACGAGGCGTTCCCCATAGCGAGGACACAGTTCGAAGTTCCCATGAAAGGGAACTCATTCTGGTTGTATATGCAGTCAGGTCAAGATGACTGGTATGTTTTGTGGCATCTCCATGTGGTCCAGTTTGGTATCACACCTTCACTTGTTTGTATTAAAAAAAAAAAAATCTCAAAATAAACTTATTTTTTCTTTTTTTTTTGCTTGTGAATTGCAGTTAAATAAGTTGAATGTTATTAAAATAATAATATTAAATAATAACAACAACTTTAACAAGCTCAAATTATTATATTAGTGTCAAATAAATAACTGAATTATGCACATCATCCTTCAAATGCTTTTTGTTCTGACTAATGGTTTAAAATAGCAATATCAACAGTAATCCAAAAATTATCATAGATCAATTAAATCAACTCTAACTAATAAATCATCTGCTTTATTGTACTACTTTTGTGTCTGCCAAGAACATAAATGTACAGTAAATATGAAATTGTGTATAGTTGTAAAGTGCAGTTTTGTATTAATGAGTCCATACTTTCAGCCTGCGACTCAAGTTCTCCATGGTTCCTCCATCTGAAGCTTCTCCAATTAGAGTGAAACTATTTGCGCTTTCAGTTGACATCATCCTACAGAACACAAACAGCTCATTAATTCACCATTATACAATTGTAATATTTAATCTTTAAGCTCAGCATGTTGCTGTTACAGTTCACAAGAGTTGCATATAACACATTACATAGATAAATATAAATAAATAAATAGAGATACATGTGCATATAATAGAGATACACAGAGATAAAAAAATTAATAAACCAGAACTAGAGATACACAATTCCGCATTAACTGAGAATCACAACTGTGATTTAAAAAAAAGGACTTACAGAACTGGAACATTATACTACTTAAAGGGGTAGTTCACCCAAAAATTCTGTCATTAATTACTCACCCTCATGTCGTTCTAATCCCGTAAGACCTCCATTCATCTTCGGAACACAAATTAAGATATTTTTTATGAATTCTGAGAGCTCTCTGACCCTCCCATAGACAGCAATGTAATTACCACGATCAAGGTCCAGAAACGTAGCAAGAATATTATTAAACGTAATTAATGACAGAATTTTAATTTTAGGGTGAACTATCCCTTTAAGAAAATAGCATGCAAGGATATGTGTATGTTTCAGTTAATAAACAAATAAAAAAAAATAACATTAAACAAGGCAAAGTGTGTGAGACAGACAATGCGGTAACACTTTATTTTACTGTGTCCTTGTTACACGTTACATGTACTTAATATATACTTACTAATAACAATAAATTATGCATAATTTCATGCAAATAACCTTAAAAAAGTGTTTAAAAAGTTTTGGTTTGTTTGGTTTGTATGGTGATGAGAGTATCAGATGACTCCTGCAAAAAAATACAAATATGTTGTGCTTGGGCTAGGCCGTGGTCAGGGGGCTCTATAGCACCCCCAAACACAGGATATGGTAAGGATGAAGTTTCTCTGATCTCCACAGAAATTTGGTATGGTCTCTCATCATGTATAACAAAGTTCACCATGTTGGATGGAATGTGTGTGAATTTTTTTATTTTCCCGCACTGTACCATGGTTAAAAACTCATGAAAGCTAACAGACAAAATTTGTCTTAAGAAGTATTTTTTAATTTGATACTGCAATTCAGGAGAGACGTGCCTCATCAGCTCTACAGCATCCCCTGCATATTTCTTGTCCTTAGAATACATGAAAATTCATGAAATTTACACTTGTAGAAGCAAGATTTAGTCATTCTTTGGTCATTTGTTTTGGGTGTGGCCAGTGGACTCCATAGCACCCCCTAAAATTTTCAAATGTATTTATTACTGTGTTTGCCACAGATTTTGTCTAATATTCACAAATTTTAGCAGGGACATTGTCCTGAACATTACAAACATATTTCTCATGAACTTTTATTAGCTCCGGTCAGCAGAAAGCTAACCAGATTTAGATTTTTTACTTTGAACTGTGTTGCCATGGTGATGCGCTAAAAACTTTAAAAATGGGAAACAGGGGGAGTGGTTATGACTCTGAACTAGGCGCACGCTTTTCTGTGAGCTCCTGGCGTTGTTCGTTTAAAAAAATCCTGAATACCGTCCTCTTTATTCACGACACGATTTTCATTTATTTTATTAACTCTTTGTGGTGACTTAAGAATCAAGATGCTGTCAAAAAAACACAAAGATAAGCCAAAATTGGACTCTTCTCCAGTCGTGGAACATGACGCTGAAGAGGATGCTAGTAGCACTAGCTTATCAAATACCTTATGCAGCGCACCTCAGGGAGAGGCAACTTGTGCCAACGCTTGCCAAAAGTTGGATTTGATTAAAAAACTGGATCTAATGAGAAGTGATTCTGCCACAAAGCTTGATGGAGTTCTAAACGCGATACAGGATGTTAAAAAGGATATAAGAGACTTCTCCGGGTGCATGGATATGGCCGAAGAGCGCATTAGCAACGTAGAAGACGCGGTTGATTCAGAAAAGAGCAAGTTGGAAGAAGCAGCTAAGCACATTGCTGTTCTCACATGCAAGCTTGACGATCTTGAAAACTGTTCGTGGAGATCGAACCTCAGGTTGGTTAATCTTACCGAAAAGGTGGAAAATCCGGATGTAGTTGTCTTCCTGGAAAAATGCTTTAAGCGCTGGGTCCCGAAACCTTCCCTGTTTCGCCTGTTATAGAGAGAGCGCACAGGCTACCTGGTAGGCCACAATCCAATCGATCATCTCTAAGAGTGCTGATCATGAAGTTTCTGAACTTTCAAGATAAAGTCCGAGTGATGCGTGCTGCCAGGGCTAAAGGCAGAATTATGTATTGTGAACAAGAGGTCAAGTTTTCCCCGGATTTATCTGCGGAGTTGCTTCGTCAGAGGAGACGTCTTGACGGTATTAAACAGCGACTGCAATCCTTGAACATTAACTATGGACTAGTTTACCCAGCCAAACTACGTCTGACAGTTGACGGACAGACCCATGAGTTTGAAGACCCGTCTGATGCCGAAAAGTTCATACAGGGAATACAGAGTGCAGCTGAAGCATAAAGGACTTAAAGGGAAGTTTGTCAGTTTTCCCTGTTTATGTTATGCCCAGCCGAAATTATTGTTTTTCACATTTGATATGCAGATGCTTTGTTTTCTGCAGGGTATAATGTGGTTATTCTCATTGTTTCCGTAATGACAGTAGCCAATGCGGTAGAGAATAAGATAATTAGACGCATTGTAAATATATATTTTCTTTGAAGAGTTCAACTATATAATTTGAACTACCTTTCTAGGGTGAATGTCCATAAATCCACAGAGGGATGCCAGGAGTTTCACACAGTTCCAATTAGTTTTTCTTTTTCTTTTTAGCTAATCGCTTAGTTTTCTTTAACTACTTCCTTTATGATATTGGATCAGTGTTGGGACATAACTGTATCCCAAGGTGTTAAAGTGGGGAGGGCAAAAGGGTCAGGCTGTCTTGTTCGGGTGGACAGCTAAGGTAATTTGTTCATGGCAGGTTTTTGAGTTATTATTTTGGTCTTGTTTTTTTAATAATTACACCTTAGTCGGGCAGATCTTTTGGTTAACTTCCACATCAAAATATTATTTGATAAACGTGTGTATATAAAGATGTACAATCTATCCTAATTTAAAGAAAATCTCTGAAGTTCACCTCTTGGAATGTTAGGGGATCAACAGAATGGTTAAGCTTAAACAAGTTATGACAAGGATTAAACAACTGGAATCTTCCATAGTATTTTTTATAGGAGACTCATTTGCTCAAAGAGGAGCTATTGAAGGTGCAAAGAAGATGGCCAGGTCAAGTCTTGGCTTCATGTTATTCTTCTCATTCAAGAGGGGTTAAGTTGTTGATCCATAAGTCCGTACCCTTTTTGTTAAATAATAGTATTACAGACAAGGCCGGTAGATATTTGATAGTACAGGGAACCTATATGAGTAAAGCTATTAATCTGGTTAATATTTATGGCCTAAATGAGGATAACCCAACGTTTTTTGAAAATCTTTTTATACTGCTAGCCTCTCTTCCAGGTATAGTTATAATTAGAGCCTGACCGATATGGGTTTTTTGGGGGCCGATACCGATATTAGGGAGTAAAAAAAAGGCAATATCGATATATCGGCCGATATTCTTTGTGTATATTATAGTACAGTACCAGTCAAAAGTTTGGACACTTTCCCATTCAAGGGTCTAAACATTTGACTGGTACTATATATAGAATACAGTATATACATAAACAGAATATATATACATTAACACATTTTTTGCAATGATCACTCAAATGTGGTGATCTAACACTTATAATGACATGACAAAGATACATAATGGAGGCAGGGCATTTAACAATTCAACGATAAACTTTATTATCCAAAATGAGTCTGACATCAGTGCACTGAACAATAAAGTTGAAGTTCATTCAACTTTAATTCAATTAAATTCCATTCAACTTTATTTCTTTGAAGTTTATTTCACTTTGGAACATTCATTCACGGATTTGCGCTACTGTCTTCACACACAGACGAAACTTACTAGAGAAGTGTGAAATAATATACCTCTGTAAATAAATACAACATAAATTCATGTCTCGCGCACTTTAATGTCCTTTGAATGTAATGTGTGCGTTCCCTTGGAACTGGAATCATGGCGGAATTTCATGTGAAGTCCACTTCAAAGGGCACTTACGGTCGAATAAGACAACACTTGAATGCTGCTGCCTGAACAAGAGACCTCCTTACTGAAGTGAAAGTGTTGACTGGTGTCACTATCTCTCGATCGCACTGGTGGATTTCCACCAAATTTGGGGGATCCCTTCAGCTTGATGAGCCCTCTTGAACGCCACTCTCTGCGCGTCGGTAGCCCCCTGGGATCGCTTGATCGGTCGGCGCCGGACCGCAAATTTAACCACCCATAACTCCCGAACCCCGGGGGCTATCGACACAGGGGTGGTCTCATTCGAAAGCGGGCCTCTAGATGTACACTCGATTCGCGTTTGAGAGGGTTCCTCGAGCTGAAGGGATCCCCTGAATTTGGTGCGGATTAGCTGCGCCGTTACGGAGATATGGCCGTTCAAAGTTTCAATGGTTTTCCATATACTTAAGCTTTAAAGCGTTTCATCCAGGTCGCCAGTAACAAACAAGGGAGCACACTCTGCTGGACAAACTAAGTAATTACACCATTTCAAGCATTTATCTGCGTTACATGTTCTGTAAAAAAAAATTCATATCGGCGGCATATTCACCGATACTGATATATCGGCGACAGGATCAAATCGGCCGATAATATCGGCAAAACGATATATCGGTCGGGCTCTAGTTATAATAGCAGGAGACTTTAACTGCACTCTGGACCCGTTGCTTGACCGCTCTTCAGGACTGTATAGCTCTCACTCTCAAAGCAGGAAAAAATGTAAAGAGTTTATGAAAGATTTAAATTTATGTGACCCGTGAAGAACATTAAATCCATCAAAAAATTTATATTCTTGTTTTTCATCATTGTTATTATTTTATATAGATTCAAAATTAACAAATGGTTCCCCTAGATGGCGCCTGCACCCTAATTGGCTGCAGAACTCTGACTTCGTTAAATTTGTTGG